CAGCCTCCTCAGGACCAGCTGCTCCATCTCCAGGATCTGAGGCTTGCTGAAGGCGTCATCTGTGATGTAGGCGAAGTCTCCTACCTCCGGGGAGTACATCTCCTCGTACTTACAGGCCACCAGCATGGCCGTGACCCCGACCAGCTGCAGCTTCCTCCGGGACACCGGCTGGACCTGCGGCGCAGCAGCAGAGGGTCAGATCTGGGCGAGCGAGGGGAGAGGAGGTGGTTCTGGTTGGGCTCACCTGCAGGAAGCGGTCCAGGATGGCCACGGTGAGGTACAGGGTCTCCTGCAGCAGCTGGAAGCGGGAGTGGACCTGAACCAGCCAGTCAACGAGGATCGCCCTCATCTGCGGCGTGATCTCTAAGCCCTTCATGTAGTCGGCACGTACGTCCTGCTGCACCTGATGAGACACGGCGAGGTCAGAGTGACGTCAGCGGCGGCCGTGCGGCAGCAGGAAGGAGGTTACCTCCAGGAGGTGCAGGTAGGCGTAGATATCTCTGACATATTGAGAGCAGAGCTGAGGCTCGTCTGCGTCCCGCTCGTCCACATCCTGCACCGCCAGCAGCGTCCCAGAGAATGCCAGGCACAGCTCCTGCTCCTCCTTCATGGACGCATCGGCCGACTCCTCTGGAAGAGCGGGAAGCGGAGCGGCGGCGGGAACCTGGACCACACCCCCACGGTCCTGGGCCGGTTTAGGTTTCTGGGAGCTGGAGGCCTTCTTAGATGCTGCCCTCCTCTGTGGAAACATCAGAGCCGTTAGACTGGAACTGGATCCCAGGCTGGACGGATCCACTGGAAGAACCCAAACCAGCAGCAGCGTTTTCATCAGAGTTCCTTCATCCAGAGCAACACAATAAAATATTCAGTCATCCTCTGAGCTGAAGAGAAGTTTGAAGAAAAGAGTTCAGTTCAATCTTTGTTTCGTATCCAAAGACTGTATACAAAACATATGGTTTAGTACAGCTTTCATGATATTTCCATTTTTTAAAGTGCAGCAGTGATCAAATGTAAACAATGTGGGAGAAAAAAAAAAAGAAAAAAAAAAAGTGCAATTATGCAGCATTTTAGGTTGACGTCACTGTGATGCAGAGTCTAAATCTTAAATGACTCTCTGCTGTTCTTACAGAGAAGATCATCAGTAAACATCTCCCTCAGCAGCAGCTTCATTTGATCATCACTGGTTTAACATTTCCAAATCCTGTGGGAGCAAAAAACAAACCAGAGGCCCGCCCACATCCTGTCAGTCAATATGAGGGAGAAATGTTCTGCTAGAAGCCTCCTAGAGAGGAGATGAAAACTGGAGGATATGGAGGGTTAGAAGGGACAAAATTAAAATCAATGCAACTCTGAATAATCCTTTTATTTAAAAAAATATATAAAATAAAGTATTAAATGTGGAATAGATATACCTTTTAAATAATATTAATTTGTCTTTTTAATCAACATAATTTCATCATCCATTTATTTCATGGCTCCATCGAGCATCGTAACCGTGAACTTATTCAAACCATCATCCATGCATATTTAAACAACATTTAAAAACAAAAACCAAATCTAATTTAATGAATCAAATTCAAACATGTATAAAAGGCTAGAGGAGATTTGTTTTACAGCAAGCAGCATCAATCAGTTTCTCTTTGGGGTCAATGAATGATGGAAGCGGCCGTTCCAACTGTTGCATTTCCAAATTCTCCTGAGTGATGCCCAACGAGTGAACAAAGTGAATGTGATTGGTCGATTATCAAGGGGGGCGGGATTGTTGTGGCGGAAGGTTCACAAGCAATTTTGATTGTAGCCGGTGTCCCGGAAGCATCTTGCTAACCAGTTAGCATCTTAGTGCTAGCAGGT